ACTTACCTGAATGCATCCCACCAGTAACTGTTATTTCCTCTCCACAGCACCGCCTCGTGGAACTGAAGGTAAAGCACCTGCTTTATTGAAAGTGGTGATCTCTTCTCACCTTGGGGAAGACACAGGTTTGGAGGTGGTGGTGGGGAAATATGGATGCAGAAAGGCAGTTACCTCAGAATGAATGGGAACAGTCATCAACTGCTTGCCCTTCCTTCCTTTGTTATTCACACAAGTTTTGCAGTGCAGTGTCACGATATCACACAGAGTTCCCTGCAGTAAATGATGGGTGCCACTGAAAACCAGTCCAGCAAACTTTTGTAGAGTGGTCCCTCTAGCCTGCAAATTGAAGATTTGTGAAAATCCTGACATTTCTTTAAGAAGACTTCTATATTTAACATAGAGAAAATAAAAGTTTGACTAGTTAGTGTTGCGGCTACACAGCTAGAGAAACTTCCTAAAGTGTCTTTCAAGATATTGTTCGTAAAATCTGTTAGTTTAGTTTCAATATTATAGGTAAAATATGGACTGCAATCACCTCAGCTGAGGAAAGGTACCTGAAAGTGCTGGAGAGTTTGTAATAACCCAGACAGAGAGGTCACAGTTCCAATGAGCAACTCACAGTAGCTAATGCGCATTTGCATGCCATACCCACAAGTAATCGATACATAAACACATGGTTTCTGAGACACCTGTGCAATGCTTTATGCCAGTTTATACGAAGTAGTACTCTGATTCAGCTTCACCCGTTCAAACAGCAGTTCCCACTTATTCTATATATATTTATAAAGCACCCATCAACTCATTGCTAAGTCCTGCTTGGCTGGGCAGCGTGACTGTGGCCACAGTTCTGCATCTTGACCTCCCAAGAACCAGCAGTAGAAGAACAGTGTCCATCATGGATGGACTGTGACAGTCTACAAAGCCTCCAAATGCCCTTGCATCCCAGGTCTTTACGTCTTCCTTTTCATAGTGGGCCTCACGGTCCCCTGCATGAAGTCCTGGACTAATTTCCCCAGACTTTCCTGGGGATCCAAGACATCAGACTCCCCAGTAATCACTCCCAAGTAGCTCATGCCTTAGGCAGCATGTGCTGTCACGATTCACCCTCTCCACAGTGACCTGGGGGCTATGCCAGCTCAGATCACCACAGAGGTCTATAAGAGGGACCACGTCTATCTCTTCGTGAGACCAGCAGGTAGTAAGCCACAGTTTTGCAGGAGTCAGTGCAATGGCAGGGCCTCCAGAGAGCAATAGTACGATAGATTGACTTTGTCAATGGGACAGGGAGGAAAGCCCTACCTTTTTTGCACTGGAAAATAACTACTCTACTACTGCCTACGCAGGACCCTAGAGGGAACCGAATTGCACAGTGGCTGAATGTCACACCTGTGGGAGGCATTGTGGACCTGTCCTTCCCTCTGGCTGCAGAAGCACGGGTGGGAGAGTACAGCATCAAAACGCCCGACCGCACGCATACCTTCAGGGTAGAGGAGTATGGTAAGAGTCTCCGAGAGCTGACTGCAGCAGAGAAAGATGTATTGCCTTCCCCGAGTTGAACAGGCGGTGCAGCTGTGAACAGCTGTCCTAGCTGTGCTACCACTGGAGACGTCCAGCTGTGTGCCTGTAGGTGTAGTCACTGACTTTCACTCAGGCCCGCTGGCTTTGTCCTCCCCCATGTCCTGAGGCTGGACTGAGGTACTGTCCCACAGCTGTGTTCTGGGGAGGACACCACGCTGTCTACTGCTGCCACACTCTCCTGGCTGGGATGCTGGCGCATTGCTACCAGGTCCTGTGCTGATAGTTAGGGAATGAAAGGAGAGACTTCATTTCTGTGAACAGCCATTTGGGGAGGAATGAAACAAATGAGCTCTCTATTCTCACTGCATTATATTTCTCTTGCTTTCACACAGTGCTGCCCAAGTTCAGTGTCTCCATCCAGATGCCTCAGGTGGTCACCATCTTGGAGGAGAACTTCCGTCTCCACATCTGTGGCATGTGAGCTGACTTATCATGGCAGAAGGTGCATTCTTTTTGGTTTGGAAACTGCACAGCTATCAATAACTGAGCTCAAAATGGTCTCTGACAACCCTACCCCCATTCCAAACTCTGGTAACCTGTCATCCTTTGCAAAGGTATTCTCCTGGACTCTCACCTTTCCCCATATTCTCTCTCCCTACTTCCTCCTCTGTGAGTTTGAAAGTGTGGCAGTGGGTCCCCTCAGTGGAGCATGTCCCTTGGAATACAATGCCTCTGCTGCATTGATTAGTGCCAGTGTGGACAGAATAATGACTCAACCTGTGGCCAGCACAATGTCCCATAGCACCACGTGGTGGCACTAGTGTTGACTTGAAGAGAACTCACCCACCGCTGCCTTCTGTCTCAATCTGATGAAGTCATTTTAACTTCTTGGCCTCTGCTGAGCTCACAAACCATGAAGATACTGCCGGCTACTGGGTTGTATAGCTACAGGCTCAAGCTGATACTATTCGGCCTTGAGCCAGTGTTTCTGTATGTGAGTGTGAGTCCTCTCTGCTACGTTTGCCAGGTACACATATGGGAAACCAGTCCAAGGTAGTGTGAAGGCTGTGGTGTGCCGTAAACATATCCGCCATAATCGGAAGTCTTCCAAAGCCAAGCGCAGTATTTGTAAGGATTACACTGGTGAGGTGAGCACATGGGACATCCACTCCTCTTGTAAATGAGAGGAACAGGGGCAAAGAGAGGGGGGAATACTAAAGAAAGGAGTGGGACTGACATCAGCTATTGAAGCAGCATGCTCTTTGGTCAGGGATAAATGACTGGTATGTCCTTAAGTCCTCAGTGGAGCAGTCTCAGCACCTCTCGGTGATTTCTCTGAGTGCACTTAGATGCACTCAAAGGTAGAAGCATGTCTAGGCAAGATAACTATTGCAGATTCGCCCTCAAAATGGGTGTTGCAACAGGGCAATAAAAAATACAAACACAGTCTACATGATTCACTTCCACTGGATGCTCTTTAGCATGACCTTTTAATCTGATGTAAACACCTATGTGCTGTTTCCCAGAAATAGCTGTTTTGGAGACACAGAAATTACCTCTTGCATCTAAGCAAGAAATTGCAGTTTAGCACAGACTTTACTCATTAATCTCTAGGGTTGAATGAATGTCTCTGTATTTGTTTACATAATTTTAAGTAACCCAGCACATATCTTAAAGATAAATCCTACCTTAGCAGAAGAAATTATGTTGTCAGGGAGAAATGACAACTCATGTTTGCTACTGGCTTTTGAATCAGTATGTAAAGATGAGATGTGTGAAACAGCACCTCCTGTTAGTGACTGCTCCACAGAAAAGAAGTACGTTTTATGCCAGTATGGGAGTTGCTCCTTTAACTCAAGTGTCTTAGTCATGTCCTTCTAGACTTCTGGGCTTTGGGTTTGATCTGCACTGCAGAAGGGATTAGTGCATTCATGATTTGTTAACAGATACAATTTCACATCCCCAGACAAATGAGGATGGCTGCTTTGCCACTGATGTGAATATTAAGATCTACCATCAGAAGCGTGGTGACAATTATGATTTCAACCTGGAAGCTGTGGCTTTTCTGAAAGAAGGTGGAACAGGTAGCAAAACTGATTCTGCACTTCGTGGAAAATCTTATACTTTATACTCACATGACATGGTTGTCCTCGGGTTTTCAACTGTAACACTCCTTATGGATCCTTGTGTCGTCCCATCAAACCACTGGAGCTTTCTGCATTGGCTCCCATGGGGTCAAGTGTTCAGATGGCTGTGTCTTCACTGGGAGCACCATGGCAACATGGATGTTCTCATGTACCATACCACCCAGGTCTGACTTGCAGAGGATATGTGAGTTCTCCCAGTTGCAGGATGGACTTTACCAATCTGTTTGCTGCTCCACAAGGTGTTGTGGCCAGTACAGCTCTGACAGTCAGCTTGGCTTGGCAGAGATGGCCAAGAGTTGCTTTTTCTCGTCCTCTAGCCACAGTAGAGATGTGCACAGAGTTGGGCCAGGCCGGGTTATTTTGTTCTTAAACCATACATTTGGAAAGCCCATTGGAATGAGGAGATACTCAGAGCAACCAGTGATAACCAAGGCCCTGACTGTGTACAGTCAATAGCCCCTCATCAGATTTATCTCCACATCCTGGATAGGGAGATGAGGTTACTTGTCCAGAGTTACTGCTAAATATCCCATCTGGTAAGGTTTCCTCTCTTACAAATTTTACGCTTCCTTACAAGAAAATGTTTTGCAGATCCTTGCTGAATGCAGTGACACATTCATTTAGCAAACAACTGCAGTGATTTCAGACGGGCACCGTGTGACAAAACAGCAGACTGTAAACTAACGTGGTGAAGGCAAGGAAAAATGTTGCCTTCTGGTGACTCTGCTGTAAGAATGGGAGGAGAATGGAAGTGGACAGTTATGAGTAGCACCATCTTAAACAAAGTCAGAAAGAGCATTTGAGAACTGGCTGGCAGAGACCTCTGGGTAGACTGCTGTCATTCTAGCAGGTCAGAAAGTAGGAGGCACTATTGCCAAGTGTGGGTGTGGGGGTGTGTGTGTTAAATGATTCCTGAAGTTACATGTAGAAACTCCAGTCCCCTGTGAGTGATAGTCCATCCCTTACCTCAGTCCAGCCAATCCTGCTGCCTTTGCTCAGACACGTGATACTCACCTGCATGCACCTCCTGTCTTTCCTAGGGGTGGAGTTCAACACCACTGAAAACTGCAAGGTCACTTTTGATATCACAACCCTCCAATTCTGGGGAACAAGCTACTACTACCAGCAAGGAGCTCCTTACTATGGAAATGTAAGTGAAAAGGGAAGAAACATGGACAGCCCAGCAGCTGGGCCTAAGGGGATGACGGGCACAGAAGTACTGAGGGGTGCCCCTGCTCTGAGCTGCCCAAAGCTGCTAGCACAGTCCTCTGTCCCAGTCTCTCCTTTGACATCTCTATCAAGAAGTAATCCAAAGGTGTGACCACAGGACAGGCACATGGCTTTGCCAAACGAGATGGCTGCTGCATAAATGGGGAGCGGCTGGAGGAGTTAGAGTTCACACTGAGAGTCCCTTTGCAGAAAGGGGAACTAGGACTTCTGCTGGGAGGTAGATTGTCAGTCCTGAGGCCGCTGACTGTTCTCTGCATTGTTACAGCTGGAACTCAAAAGTGCCAATGGGACACACCTGAAGAACAAGGAGGTGACTTTAACAGTGTCCTATGATAGCACAAAGCAGACCAAGACCTACTTCACAGATGACGCTGGGATGGTCTCTTTCACCTTAGACACGTCAGCGTGGGACAACAGCAGTAAAGTTCTACTACAGGTTAAGCCCAATAATTACATTAGATTTGGTTAGCACTAAGCAATGCATCCCTGAGACCTGTAGTCTATGTCTTCGTCTCAGTATAGCCAGGAAGATGGAGGCGTGGAGCATTGAAATGTCAGATCTAGGGCAAGAGGAGTATCCCGTAGGAGAGCCAGGGTTCCAGCCCCTAGTGCCACACACAGTCCCTGAGCAGTCAGGAGACGTGATGAGAGACAGGGCAGTGGACAGAGGCCCCATGAAGGTGTGACTAAGGTCTGCCTACATAGTACCTCTGTCTGAGGTGGGAAGGGTTCTGTGGAGCTGGACAGGGACAGAGAGCAAAGGAAGAACTCCCACATGGTATGGAACAAGAAGATAGGAAAGGAGCTAGGGAAGAAGCATTTGAAAATACATGTGGAGAAGAAAACATCAGTGACCAGTTCGCATTATGTTTACTCATACCATAAGAGTTAGGAAAAACCTGGGGTATAAGAGACAGAATACTTAGGTGAGAAAGAAGGAAGACTAGTAAGGAACCAGTTGCTGCAAGCCAATATGGAGCAGAGCAGGTAAACATCCTAACCAGGATGTAAGGAGCTAATCAGGGATGCCACTGGCAGCGAACTGACAGAGAAATATTTGCATCTGCTTGCCCATGAAGAAGGAACACCCTCTTGTCTGGTTGTAGGGTTAGGTTTCTAATACCTGTTCTATCTAGACTTCAAGGTAAAGACACTTCAAGGCAACTCTTGTCTCTTAGTTGGAGTGCATACAGTATCTTAAATGACAGATCTTGACCTTGCTGGGAGTCCACAAGAAGTTAATATCATAGTCTCAGTGGAGATAGGTTGTAGGTCAAAGTTGAGCAAGGCTGTTGATCTTCAGTTGTCCCCTACCACCTCTACCCTATGGATAAGGGAAAGTGCTAAAAGAAATACAGTGTAGAAGTGGAATAGCACTGAACAGTGAAATACTTAATCAGGGCATATCCATGCTGATACTTTCCCCACACCTACCAGACAGAAGAAAAGGGTTCAGTGGTTTGATCCAGGGACCAATGAGCCATTCTACACAGTCTAACAACCTGGCTTGCTCCCAGGGTACCAGCAGCATCACAGAAGTTCAGGCTCTAGCCCAAGACCTAGTAGTATACAGCTCCCTGCCCCCTGCTTAGGCGCTGGTTATCCCGGCATGTGGTGGAGCGGGCAATGCCAAGCTCCACAGAAAGGGGCCGACTGAGCTTGGCTTCGGTGGAAATAGATACCTTACCCTGGGATTGTTCAGAGGCCACTGTCCAGTCTGTCTTGGTTTTGGTGTGGGGAGAGCTGTAAGAAATCTTCAGTTCAGACACCAAACTTTGTTTCTCTGCCACAGGCAAAGACCCAGCCAGAGGACTTAAGCAGTCGAAATGTGAGGGTGTCTTATGGCACTGCATCCCTCATACTGAGGGCCTTCTACTCGTCCAGCCGCAGCTCTGTGAGGATCCAGCCAGTGCAGGATATGCTGCCCTGCGGGGACGTGCAGCACGTTGCTGTGCACTATCTCATCCGAGGCACAGAGCTGGGGCACGGGACTGCCAGAGCAGACTTCTACCACCTGGTGAGTGCAGGGCAGCACTGGCAACGAGGTTGGCTTTGCGATGGGTCTGTGTCAGCACGGGGCCCTTTGCTGGCCCAGGGACACAGAGCAGAGGCACTATCAACCCCTTGCTCTGTTCATTACCCTTCAGGTTTTGGCCAGAGGGTCCCTTGTGCATCATGGCCAAACAACAGTACTGCTTGATCCACCATTAGGTAAGAGCATCTAAATACCAGAAGTAGATTAATGACCCAACAGGAAAGCCCTTCAAGCCCAGATGGGGAAGGAGAGACAAGAGATCTGAGACCAGCAGGAAACAACAGAGCAGGCACAAAAAAATCAAGAGGAAATGGCAAATATGCTATCTCTCTTCTGTCTTTTAATTTCCCTCTCTTTTTTTTTTTTCTGATCAAAAGATGAAATTGTCAGAGTATCAGAGACCTCCAAGAAAACTCACAGAATCTTTTTGCTAGACTAAGGTGGAAAGTCATTTCTCTTCCAAGGGCACACTGTTGCCAAGATCCCTCATGATGTAAGGTCACTGCTACAAAACGGCACTAACCTACGTCCTGGTGTAGCTGTGGCCTCCCCAGAAGCAAAGCAGAATAGTTTTGACCCAAGTAACTGTGCAGAACTATGATAGAGGATGAGCATGTTTCTGCTGTAATCCTTGGAGACAGACTTCCTTGCCTCTTCCTACACTTTTTCTGTTTCTCCTTCTTCCTTCAGATCAGTATAGCGGAGCTTTCAATGTCACTCTGCCCATCGACCTCATTTCACCCATGGCTACCCTCTTTGTTTACACTGCCTTCCCTGAGGGACAAGTGGCAGCTGACACCTTCAGTCTGAAAGTCTCAAAGTGCTTCAGAAACCACGTAAGTTGTGCACAAAACATAAGAGGACAGGTAGGCTGGAGGGTAGCTGAATAACTGTGAATTGGCAATAAATGTCCGGTAGAATCCAGTAGCCACAGTCTCCTCTTTCCTTCCTCTGTCAGTGTGTTCAGTCCCTCTTTCTTCTGCTGTTTCAGGTGAAGCTTGGCTTCTCAGACACGATGGCTCTCCCAGGATCGGCTGTCCATCTCCATTTGCAGGCTGCACCAGGCTCCCTATGTAGCATCCGTGCTGTAGACCAGAGCGTCCTTCTCCTGAGGCCAGAGGCTGAGCTATCCAGGGACAGTGTGAGTCACTCTAGTGCTGAGCCTTGCTAATACTGGAGAGCTGTCTTTTGAGTATCTGGTTGCAGGCACTGGTTCATAAGGCACAATGGATATACCAACGAGTACTTGAATGGGGACAGGACATGGCTTGATGAGAAAAACTGAAGGTCAACATCAAACATCAGTCACAATTTCCAGTCTCTATGGAGAGGTCTAATAGAATAACACACTGTCATCCCCAAGTAAAGCCCGAAGTCACATCCTTGTTAAACGTAGAGTGTTTTGTCACAGTAGCAACGAGATGGTAAGAGACTTCCATCTCCTGAACCACTTCATGACAGTGCTCTGAAAAAAAGAGTTAGGTTAAAAAAAATTGCCCAGTGCGTGATAGGCTCCATGTCTTTGTTCCAGCTCACATGAACCAGACAGTCCTTCCATTCACAGACTGGACTGTAAGTGGTGGCTTAGCAGTGGAAGGCTCCAATTCCTCCTCTAGACCAGGGATGCATTGGGCCTAAGGACCCTTGAATTGCCTATTGACACTGTCTTGGTGGATCCAGCACGTGCCTTCAGTCAGACAGGAAGCTACCTAATGACTCTTAGCAGGAAGGTGTCCTCACTATGTGCATTGAGCTCACAGGTACAATCTATGAGCTAGAAGAGGTCACAGCTATGCAGACATACCCCACAGGAGTTCATGTTTATCTATGGTGCTCTGCATCTAAAAGTTGTGGAGGCCCTCCATGAAGATCAAAAACCTTTGGGGCTGGGCTTTTGTGGCAGGCAGGATCTGAGCTCTGCCTCTGCAGTCACAGAAAATCTCTGGATAGAAGTGAAAAAATTACCACCTCTCACACTGACCTGTACTGTTTTCATTCTCTGTCTACAGGTGTACAATATGTTCAGCTATGCTCAGGAGCACCCCAGCACCCTCACAGACTCTTACAGTGACTACTGTACTATCCACAACAGCCCAGGAATCATCGGTTCCCCTCAGACCACCCTTCAACCAGGAACAACGTCACCATTCATGTACAACAGATACTCTTATGCAGTGTCCCAGCCAGATGTTTATGAACTTTTGAAGGTAAATCTGATTTCCAGAAGACCTGAAATATCAGAGCTGAGCCCTTTTGTATCCCAGGTCAGCACTGGGTAACTTCACAGATTGTCTTTCATGTAAACGCTGGCAACTTCAGGTTCTGAACTTGCCAAGCTTCTGAACAAAAAGATCTCTGACACTCCGTACTCCCAGCTTGATAAATTCCCATCAATCAGGCAGATCCCTAGAACCCAGCTCCCTGTTTATCCCAAGCTGGAGACCCTCAGACTTTCTAGTGGTTGTAAGGAGAGGGGAGCGTCAGCCCGAGTCAGAGAAAACTGGAGGTTGGAAAAGCAAAGCACCTGAGACAAAAGCGGGACTGGGGAAAGGAGGGGAAGAATAGCAGCAAGTAATAGCAGGTGAAAGATGACAAATCTGAGTTAGAGAGGGCAGCCAGCTGTAGTGCCAGAATAATGACTTTGTGTGTGAGCATGTGCATGCAAGTGGTCACCCCCACGATTCTGACTGGAGAGAGCCTCCTTTGGCCTAGGGGTCAGGACCGGACTTTGGGAGCAGGGTGGTTCCATGTTCTCTCCCTGTATAAATTCGCAGGTCAGGCTGAGGTGCAACAACATAGGGTGGCTGATATGCTGGGAGGCGCGGGAAGAGACAGACCCTGAGACACACCATACCCTCCACTGAAATCCACCTTCTTTTCTTCCCCTTCTTTCCCCCAGAACTCAGGTCTAACATTTTTAACCAGCCTTAAAATCAAGTCTCCAATTGAGTGCCGCACCCAGACCACTTCCTACTACGACTACATGTGTACATCTTGATTTATCCTGTTTCTTTGGAAATCACGGGTAACATGCAGGCTGCACAGGGGCAGCTGAACATGAAGTGTGCTGAGGAACTGGGGATGGCTTCCAGAGATGAGTGGGAGGTTGCACAGGAAATGTGCACCACAGGAAGAGGGGAAGGGTCCTGATGTGGGCCTGTGTCCAGTGCACTAGAGGGACAGAGGGGTGGCTGAGTAGGAAGAACCTGCTTGGAAGGTCCTGCTAGCAGGCAGGAAGATAATATGGTCAACGGAGGGAATGAGGCAGCTGTCTCAGGAAGGAACTTCTGTTTGTAAGACTAGGAAAGATCTTGCTGGAAACCAGAGAAAGGGCAGAGATTGGCACTGGGCAGTATCTAGGCCTTCCTGCAGGGGCTGAGAGCAAAAGTATGAGCAGGTAGAGTTCCTCATGGGGGAGCACACGCATACCGGAATCAGCATGGTCTCCTGGGTTGTCACATGGAAGACAGTAGTGAGTAGATTGAGGGCATCTTGGAGAGGACAAGGGGGATTGGAGCAGGAGGGATGGAGAGATGAGCTTTTCCCAGCTGAACTCTATCCTGATTTCACAGTTGCTTTGCCTTTGAATGAATTCTTGTATTCCCAATAGCTTATGGCGAGCTGGCAGACTTGGACAACTTGGACCCAGAAACAGATGCTGCCTTTGAACGTGCTGAGTCAGAGCAAGTGGAGCTGGGTAGCGAGGCAGGGCCAGTACGTACCTGGTTTCCAGAGACATTCATCTGGACTGTGGTTCCCATCAAGTGAGTAATTACAGGCTGTGGCCCCACATGGATCTAGACCTCCTACCAGCCACAGTGGAGAGGAAATGGGCAGGAGCAGAGCCAGGGTATTATTGCCTGCTGTGCCTGCAAAGAAAAGGGAGGTGTGAAGAAGGGAATAAGGACAATGGAGTTTTGGTTCAGTTCCTGGGTCTGCTTGAGATTTTCCGAATAATCCTGGGGAGCTTAAAATCACAGACTCCTGTAGCATGGAAGAGGCCTCCAAAGGTCAGTGTTTGACCAACCTCATGGTATTTTTTTTTCTTATCTCGAGTCAGAATTTCCCATGGTCCAACTTGTGTCTGTTACCTTTCATCCTATCAATACGCACCTCATAAAACTGAAAAATCTTTCCCTCTTAAGTTTGAAAACCTCAGTTCTTTCAGCCATTCCTTGTACGTCAAATGTCCCAGCCCTCTGACCATCTTGGTAGTCCTCCACTGGATGCATTCAAGTATGTCAGTATCTTTCTTATGCTAAAAAGCAAAAATGGGACACGGTAGTCCTGATGTGGTCCAACAACGGAGGAATATGCGGTAAAAATAACTTTTCTCAACCCAGTGGCTTAATACACTCCAGAAGTAGATGGTCTTCATTGCTGTAAGGGTACATGAGGACTCTCATGCTCAACTTGTTATCCACCAGGACTCCCACCTCTTTTTCTGCAAAGTTGCTTACTAGCCAGTCACTGCCTAGCCTGTACTGTTGCATGGCATTATTTCATCCCAGATACAGAAGTTACCCATTTTCAAGCCCATTGTTCCAGCTTGCCGAGGTTCCTCTTAATAGTAACCTTTCTCTCCAGCACATCAGGAACCCCTCTGCAACAGGGTATAGTCTGCTAATACACAGCAAGGTTAGTCTGCTAATGTTGCTGAGGATATTGCTGCTTCTATTATCCAGGTCATGAATAAAGCCATTCGTTGGGCAGTATTGGCCCAAGTATCAGTCCTTGAGGGATGTCATGGGTAAACAGCCACCAGTTGGACTTTGTGTCAGCAATAACCATCCTTTGTCCCCAGTGGTCTAGCAAATTTTCTGCTCACCTAATTATCCACTTGTCCAGCCGACACTGATGTGGCTACAAGGATGCTCTGGGAGACTGTGTCAAAGGCCTTGCTAAAGTCACGTTATGCAGCATCCACAGTTCTCCCCTTATTCACAGATCTCAGCTTTCTTAATTCTCTCACGTGCCATTGTTATCCATCTGTAAAACAGGATGTCTGCCTCCCCATCTCATTTGGCTGGATTGCGCCCATTTTGGGGCAGAGACTGTCTTCCATTTTGTGTATGCAGATCTGTAAGTGACACTTCTAATGATGACTGCCAAGCTGTGGTTGGGAGTTTGGGTGGCAGTGTGGTGGGAGTGTCACTCAGTGCTCCCTGGCACAGTCTGGATGTACAAAACAGACCCCTGAGAGCCCTGTGTGCCCACATAAAACAAGAAATTGAGGTGCAACACTGTCCAGAAGAAAATCCTGGTTTGCATTTGCCTCTCAGTCCTTCCTTGCCCACCTATTTGCTATCCTTCCTATACCTATGTCCTAATTCCTACGAATCCCCACACCTTGACACGCACTTCCAGTTCATAGTCCTGCATTTGTCTTTGTAAGAGAAATCTTTACAGGGATGAGGACAACCCCTTCCACTCTGTTTTCTCCTCAGTGATTCAGGGGCTGCTGAGCTAGCTGTCACAGTACCCGACAGCATCACAGACTGGAGAGCCATGACCTTCTGCACCTCAGAGAGCCATGGGCTGGGCATCTCAGAGACCACCAGCCTGCGGAGCTTCAAGCCCTTCTTCGTGGAACCCACCTTGCCCTACTCCGTCTTCCGGGGAGAGTCATTTCCCCTGAAAGTCAAAGTCTTCAGCTATCTGAAGCAGTGCATGGCGGTGAGTGGCTCCCTCCAGGATGCTGGGCAGGGGGATGTGTGGTTACAGTACTTCACTGATAGAGACCCAGACAAGGGGCTGCCTCCTCAGGCACTGGGCAAAAGACACCAAGGAATCTCTTCACAAAGCTCCAACCAGAGCCATCTCTGTCCACCTTATCCCTCCCCATAAGCTCAACCCTACCGGACTGCAATGTCCATGGGCTGTTGCTGTCCCCCAGATATTGCAACAGGGCCATCATCATACTCACCCTGGGCTCCTGGGCTTGACTGAAATTTGGATCAAGGAGCTGAAAGGAAAATCACAGCAGCAGCTCTGTAACCCAAACTCCCTTTTGTTTCACCTCTAGCTCCAGCTTAGCCTAATGGACTCCAGGGATTTTGAATTTGTGCATGCAAATGTCAGGTTCGCTGTTTGTCTGTGTCCTGACTCAGCAAAAACATTTTTCTGGGATGTGAAGGCTACAAAATTAGGTAAGGTGACAAGGGAGGGGCAGGAGTGGGAGGCACTGGTAGAGCTGCTCGAGGAAACCAGAGCTGGGCTGGAAGGAAGACTGGCCTATCATGCAAAGCACAAGTGAGCAGCCTTAGGCTGAGCAAACTAAAACATAGGCATGAACGTGCCAACTGGCCTCTTGACGTTTTGTTTCTTAGGGAAGGTGAATTTCACTGTCGCTGCTGAGGTGATGGAGCAGGAAGATGTTTGCACTGAGAGTACAGCTGTTGTGCCAGAGTCTGGAGGGAAGGACACAGTGGTTAAACACCTGCTGGTGAAGGTCAGCCTGTGCTTCAGGGTCCTGGCAAGGTTGGAACCGTGTCAGGCTCAAAGCAGCCGGGTGGGTGGCTCTGGGAAGGGAGAGGCAGCCAGGCAGGTAGGCACACTTCTCAGAGAGGCTGGTCAAGGAGTGATTCTAAGGGTAGGCTGGGTCGGGGCATGAGCTGAGCCCCTCCACTCGATGGGACAGAGAAGTCAGAACTGCTGGCTAGCAGGGCAATGGGGGCAAAGGCCATGTAGCAGCTTAGAAATCTGCTTCCCAGCAAAACTTCACTGTCGGCACACGTATGCCTGCTGCCTGTGGGAGGCCCTTTGCATGGCCCACGAGGACAGAAAAGGTGCTTGCGGGAAGGTGGGGTGCTGCTCAGCAGCTGTCTTATTTTACTGCTCTCCCTTCTGCACTGACCAGCCTTTTCCCCACCAGGCAGAGGGGCTGCTGGAGGAAAAGACTCACACCTCACTTCTGTGCCCTAAAGGTAAGGTGCAGGTACCCCAGAGACAGGGGCTGTCTTACCCCTGGGGCTGTACATGCGCACAGAGCATGGAGACCAAACAGAAGCAGTGTGGTGTGTGAAGAAATCTGGGACCATCCGGATGTGCATGGGGAGGGGAGAGTCGGGGATTTTGCAGCTTTTGTAGGGAGGCAAAGACATTCAGCTCTACCCAGTACGACAAGCTCCTGGCAGCACCAAGCCACTGCCTAACCACACCACAGTCACTCATCAGTGGGTGGCCTGACCTCTGCGTCCTCTTTTCTTCTGAATGCTGCTCTCATGAATGGATGAGGTGATCCCAGCCTTGTTTACACCATCTCCTGGGGACGCCTGTGGGTCTGCCGCCCCCCCCTCCTGCCTGTTGTTCTGATGCTTTTGCCATTTGCAGAAACTTCAGCTTCAGAGACGATCACTTTCACTGTGCCAGAGAACACGGTCCTTGGGTCAGAGAGAGCCCACATCTCTTTCTTAGGTGAGATTTAGAGGGATCTTGGAAAGTAATATTTTTCCCTGCAGGAGTCTTTTCTTCTGGTGCCACCATGTCTGCTTTAGCAAACAGAGTAACAAGAGGGAACGTGTACTATGAGGTCTGACACTGGACCCCTATGTCTTCCAGAGAAGCATGACATGCTGTCATACAAATGACGCAGGGCTAGATGGAAATATAATTTCACCCAGCCAAGGGAGACATAGACAAGTACGTTATCACTGTTCCTACAGGCTCTATAGACATTTAAATCAGCCATCGTGAGCAGAGGTGAACTGACACCAGTCTTAGCAGGTTATCTGGAGAATCAGTGAGACCAGAAATTTTTTACGTGCAAGAATACGTAAAGCTCCGAAAGCTGTGGTTCTGTCCTACAGGTGACATTCTGGGGACAGCGCTGGACAACATAGATGAGCTCCTCCAGATGTCCAGTGGCTGCGGTGAGCAGAACATGGTTCATTTTGCCCCCAACGTCTTTATCACACGATACCTTGAAGAAACAGGACAACTGACTCCAGATATCAAACAGAAGGCAATTGGCTATCTAGAAAGCGGTGAGTAGACTTCTGCTCATGTTGGGTAATTAAGCTGGTGATGTCCACTACAATAGCTTGTGCAGTGGGGATCTCAGCAGAAGCTTGGTGCTGATCAGGATTTGTGCAGCGTCACTTGCCTGACACCATGGGAGTTACAGCAGTGTACATCAGGCTGCTGTGTCTCAGGTGAACAAGGGGTACATGGCACCCCTCTGAAATCCCTTCGCAGAATTCCTCAGAGACAATGCGCTCTGTAATGATCAGCAGGATTGACGGGGCAGATTGCCACCTTGAGCACACAGCAGACACAGAGCATCTTCACTACCCCACAGCCTCTTCCTGCAGGATATCAGCGACAGCTCCTGTACAAGCACGCAGACGGCTCATACAGTGCCTTTGGGGAAGGAAGTGAGCCAGGGAACACATGGTAAGCAGAGATATCAAGACATAGCTGAAGAACAAGAGCTTGACCTGGTCAGGCTCAGGGTGGCTTGAATTTTGGTCTGGGGAAACTGAGGAAGTCTGGAGGTGTGGAGTTTTGAACAGAAGCCACTCCTGAGAATTTTTGGAAGAGAACCGTGCCAATGAACTGACATGAGGTACCCCTGTTTGATTGTGCTTGGGCACCCCAGCTGAGGCTGATTCTGAAAACTTGGCTGCAAAGATATCTTCTTTCCAGGTTTTCCAGAGGGCTTTGTGCCTAAACAAGATTGGGAAAGGGGCTGAGAGACCTCACTAAACTTGAGCCCTTCTGGCTTGAAATCACAGAAGTGCACCCTGTTGGAACTGGCAGAGCTCTGGGGGGAAGCACTGAAATGTCAGTGAACGTTTTCTCTCTGGCTGCAAATGGGTCTGAGCTTGAGCTTCAAGAGCATCTAACTGATGTGCATTCCTTCCAATTCTCCATCTGCACAGAGGCTCTGGCCTGCTGGTATTTCTCCAGGCATGAGACAGTGAAAGACAAGAAGACTCCTGTCTCCTACTGGAGGTGGGCATCAGTGTCTGGTTCAATTCGATTTTCTTCTCCCTTCCTTGGATCTAGGCTTACTGCCCTTGTCCTGAAGACCTTCAGCCAAGCCCGGGACTTCATCCACATAGATGAGCAGAATATAAAGGATGCTGCCAGTGCCCTGATTAAAAGTCAGACTCCATCAGGCTGCTTCAAGAGTGTGGGGAAGCTCTTCAACAATGGTCTGATGGTATGAGATGTCCTGGCTGTTCATTAGGTACCTCAGAGCTCCCTCCCTTTCTGGCCCAATCTGGGTGCCAACAACAAATGAACCCTACTGCATGTGCCTAAGGTCATCCTTGGGTGGCACTCAGGGTTGTGCTTAGTCATGGTAGCATTTTTTCAAGCTATGAATGATGGAGGTTTGCATTTGAATGATATGCATGTGGGAACTCAGCCAGTGCCCTGCCCTAGCCCCATCTCAAAATCTAACACATGCTTCAAAAAAGAAAAACATTTCAGGCTCTGTGTTCTTACCTTGGTAAACTGGTGTAGCTTCCTTTCCCATTACTGAGCTGCCATTTCTTCCTTCAGTCTGGGTTCCACGCTGTACAGAGAGAGTCAGAAATGGAGTGAATGGAGAGTGATGGCAGCCACTCATGTGAGATTCCCCTTGCAGGGGATGTGCCCTATACACTCAGAAACACAGCAAGCGTGCATGCACAGGCACACAGAGTACCACCAAAGTGCAGCCAGCAGCAGTTCGGTGGACAGGACCTTAGACAGTTAATCTTCTAAAAGTGAAGAGAATCATACCTTTCACTTGATCTTGCAAAAAATACCTTTTCTTTTGCTCCTCCATACCCTTGCCATTGTCCTGGCCTTCAAGTGAGGTGCCATCTTGCAGTGGGGTTGTGGGAACATTGTTTTCCCCCGGCACTGAAATCTGCTACTGAAAATCTTTTGCAGGGGAGGGGAAAGGGGAATGTGTTCAGCAGAGGGAGGGAATCAGCTGCCCAGAGGAGCCTGGGGCACCGTGGCTGAGAAGTGCTCTGGTAAGCAGGACCTGCAAGAGCAGATACCAGTCCTGGCACTTCCTTAGCAGAAGGAACAGGACCAGCACTGTTGCCTGCGCTGGCTTTTTCTCAGGAAGCAGAAGGCACTGGAAGACTTCTCCCTCTCCCTTCTCATGGCAGCCCTCCTGTCCTCTGCTTTGTGTTGGCTGCAGGGCGCAGTGGAGGAAGGACTGGGGCTGAGCTCTGTGATCATCACGGCTCTCATACACTCAGGGATGCCGCGCTCCGTGAGTATCGGCCGCAGGGACGGGCCGTGCGTGCGGCCTCTCGGCAGGCAGCGCGCTGGCCCTCTACCTTTGGGCACACAGGGGTACATGTCCAGTTTTCTCCCCATGTGTCCTGTCCCTGTTTCCACCCTCCTCCGCACACGCCGAGGCTGCGTTCCCTCACCATACACCCTGCTAGCATCGGTGTGCTTTCAAATGTATCCTAGGACCCAGTCGTGTGGAAAGCTCTGAACTGCATAAAGGACCTGGTCAATGCTGATATTGGCAGTTCCAACCTCTACAGCCTGGCACTAGCTGCAAACGCTTTTGCAGTAGCAGGGGATAAGGCCTTCAGGCAGAAAATCCTCAAAAGGTTGGATAAGGCCGCCATAATATCAGGTACCAAAGGCTGTGGGGCAGGAGAGGGGGCCATTGGCAGAATTGTGTGGAGATCCCAGGGCTAAACAACAAAGGGAATGGAGGGCGGGAGTGGTGGGCACTGGCAGAGCCATGTGGGGAGCCCAAGACTTGGATAGCCTCTATTTGCCAAGCTGTCAGAAGCTATATCCATACTGTGAGACAGACTTTCTCTATGGATGATCTCACAGTCCTGGTCTCCCAGTCATCTAAACCATGGGAGCTTCATGGATGTTGCAGAGCTCCTTCCCAGCCTACAGATCTAGTTTTTTACTGGGAAAAGCAGGGTGTGGGGGGAAAATAGGGAGATACACACCCATACCTTGTACCAATGTACCTGTTCACTCAGTAGCTAGGCACAGCGACTGAGTAGGACTCCAAGGTCATTAGATACAGCTACACAATTCATAAGTGTTCCCACTCCACCTCTAGATGACCAAATATACTGGAGTCAACAGTCCAAACAGGAAGAAGACTCCCTATATTGGTATCGGGCTCCATCTGTTGATGTGGAATTGACATCTAGTATCCTCATGGCTCACCTTTCAAAGTCAAGTTTGTCTTCAGATGAAATCAGAAAGGCATCCCAGATTGTGTCTTGGCTCACCAAGCAGCAAAACCCTTATGGAGGCTTTGCTTCAACCCAGGTAATCCGCCTGAGCCATCATCAGCAGAAAACCTGCCACTAGCTATGGTTTGTGAGAGCAATGGGTTGTAGCACAGCTCACAGTAAAAAAAGAAAAAAAAAAAAAAAAAAGAATGGTTTTACACCCCCTGGTATTTGTTAGTGATAGCAAAAAAAAAAAAAAAAAAAAAAAAAGTATGGATTTACAGCTCCTGAGTATTGGGAAAAGGTGAATATGCGTATTCCCCTGAGCTAATCCCATGCTAAAAGGCCAAGTGGAAAGCTCAACACTTATTGTGCTGTAGCTGCAGTATGAGGGAGGGAAAGGCTAAGGACTGGGAGTGCACAGGAAGCATGGATCTTATTTTGCCCAATGTGTGCCCCTTCCCTCAGGACACAGTGGTTGCTCTGGAAGCCCTAGCCCTGTATGCAACCAAGACCTTCAGCAAGGATGGCCCTGATCTTCATGCTTCTCTCTCCTCTGAGAGTTTCAACCAAAACATCCGAGTAGACAATACCAACCGCCTCCTGCTGCAGACAGTGGAGCTACCAGCCATTCCCCAAGATTACACTGTGCGTGTGCAGGGCCGTGGGTGCCTCTTCCTGCAGGTAAGCCCAGCCAGGGAGAAAAGATTTGTCTGGGGAAAAGCCTTGAAAGCCAGGGGCCCTCTCACCTTGCTACTTAGCCAACACTGAAAATGGACTGCTGCAGTCACTCTCAAGAATCTCGGCTTCAAGGCACTTAGTAGGAGTCGCTTGGATCCAGCAGGAAGGGAATAGCGATCCCCCAAATGAAATCAGGATCATGTCCATCCAGTCAGAGCTGCATCTCTCCTCCAAGAAGTCCAGTGAACACCACCAGGAGCAATGCACTAGCAGGACCTCTGCTTCCACCACACAGTTTTCTCTTACACCAGTGCAAGACAGCAAACAGCAGCCAAAAACCAGACAAGGATACTCTCCAGAAAAAAAAAACCCTGCTATTCTCTGCCAACTAGCATCTTTCTGTCCTGGCAGGCCATTCTGCGGTACCACATCCCTCCACCGAGGAGCGACATCACCTTTGCCATATCTGTGCAGACAGAATGCACCGCACCCAACGCCACCCAGTTCCCTGTCACCATTCATGCTCGGTAGGAGAAACTCAGTTGCCCTTTGCCTCCGCTGGGCTAAGAGGCTTCTGGCACCACGCCAGTCTCTTGGTGGCCAGGATTCCCCTTTGCTCATGAGGTCCAAGTGCTAAGATGTCCCCATCCATTTAAGTATGCTCTCCTCAGCTGGGTGAAAGGTACAAGGCCCCTGAGGGATGGCTCAGGCTATAGTCCTGTCTTGTTATCATGCCAGTCACCACAAGTTCTCCTAAGGTCTATAGGATTAGGTCTCAAACACTAGTGATGTGTAGGTCCTGGGGGACTCACTGCTGACACTTATTCCTAAGTCTTCCCTCCTCTGCTCCTAGCTGACTGCCACACCACTGTCCTCTGCTGTACTTTCCTCTCTGCTGCACTTTCCTCTGTGCTGCTCTGCCCTGACTTGGGACAGAACTGCCGAGAGAGCAGGAGGAGGATGTGATATTCCCTGCCATGCCTAGAGAAGGTAATTCCAGAAGCCTTCCAAGGAATTTATTCTTCTTGGCTCAGCACAATTAAAAGAGAGATCAGGGGAAGCACAAAGTTTTATTACAGTACAGGAACAGGTATGCTTACAGGAGAAACACTGGAAGGAAAGACAGATTCCCCCACCTGAGTACCAAAGCTGGGCTGGAGTATCTGGAGATCATGGCTCAGAAAATAACATTAGTGCTGTCCCCTGGGTTCCTGCTGCAGCTACACAGGGAACCGTGTGTCCACCAACATGGTCCTGATCCAAGTGGAGCTGCTGTCTGGATACAGCCCTGTGGCAGGTTCACTGGAAGAGGTGAGACCGCGAGTTTGTGTCCAGCTGGGATGGGAACAGTGATGGATGTCCACCATGCAGGATTGTATGAAGAACCGTGACCATTCCTGTGGGCAGAGAAATACGGTTCTTTTCTTCACAAGAAATCTTTATACCCAAAGTCTCCTCCAGGCCACACCTTGCCTCCCCCTACCCCAAGGGCTTCCTTGGCCATATAAACATTTTGCCCATGCTCTCACAAGGACAAATATCCCTGAATATTTCTGCTTTCTGTTAGAGTCTTTCTGACTTTTTTTTGCCTATTTTCAGCTAAAGAAAAGGCCTTTGGTGAAGAAAGTTGAAAGCGAAGCTGACAGAATCGTTGTCTACCTGGAGGAAGTGAGTGGAATTTAGGCTAACATCATTATTAAGAGGACTATGGACTAGCAGATAACTTTTAGCTTACTCTTGTATCATGGTTCCATTAGTATTTTAAGTATCCAGAGCTGTTGTTCCTGCATACTAGCCACATTTGCTGACCTGGAGAAGTGTGTTGTGTCAGCCCACAGTAGTTCAGCTGTAGAACTTATATATGGGGCCAATGAACTTGAGTGAAATGAGGCTAACTCTGATGTTAAGCCTACATCTGTTGGCACTGTTCAGAGACTGCTGAAAGTCCATATACAGTGTGTGATCAGGATTGGGGAGTAGTAGGAGGAGCCATCTAGTAAATTCAAGCAAGCCTGAATTCTTAGAAAGCCCTTAAGCAGCCTGAATGTAGTAGGGATCCAAGATTGCTGATGGAGTTTGCCAAGATCACTCAGACTTAAACCAGATGGCTGTTTGAGCAGCAGTGCTTGCTCCACTGCCTCATTAATCAACAGATTAACGACTTCAGCCTTTCTCTAGCTACATGCATACCTAAACAGCACCAGAAACAAGACCCGGCATGAATTCAAAAGCTTCAGAATTTCCAATGAGCACTTCTACATTTCTGTAATTCTTAATCCCCAGTTGTCAATAAGCTGAGCTAAGCTAGCCTCATAGTAAGTGGGTTATTGCTATGTGGATGCATTAGACTTGCAGAGATGCTGCTTTCGTGACATCTACAGTACAGAGCAGGAAGGCAGCACAAAGCAAGTTTTCAGCTCAGGTTGCCAGGTAGCACAAGGTAGATCCCAGTCAACAGCAGGTCATGTAACTACTGCCATCCAGCATATGTTCATCCACACATTGCATTTGTCTGCTTAATGATGAGGGTTGGAGGATAAAAGTTGAAGTAATGGGACTGTGTATAAGACAGTAGCCACTGAGGCAAGATGCATGAAGGAGCTCAGAGCAGAGCTGGATGGGAATGTGGGATTGGTTGGGAACACTAGTGCTACATTTAGATACCTAATGAACATTGACTCTGTGGGTTTGATGTTTCTCATGAGCTGAGTTAAATTTGGTGACCAATAATGGGAGATGGTCACAGAAAGTAAAGTAAAAGGTGTTTCTGAGATGGGCTGGAAAGCATAACAGTTCTGTCACAGTGGTGAGGTCTCCACAGAGCCTGAGTGAGAGCAGGTGGAAGGGATTGTCTTACAGGACTTCAGTTCTGGCTGTAATCCTTGCATCTCTTCATTTTAGCTGACTAGACAGCCTCACACCTACACTTTGCTGGTGCAGCAGGACATGCAAGTGAAGGATCGCAAGCCAGCTAATGTCAAGGTCTATGATTACTACATGCCAGGTGAGCTCAGATGCTGTACTGCAGAAACCACCCAAATGTCCCACTGGAAAGAAATTTTCTAAAGCTGTCAGGCTGAATACAATACCATCCCTGATGTGTTTATCTAACTGCCCCTTAGAAGCTCTCTAGTGATGAACCTACCTTCTTGGATTTCAAAATGGTAGATCCTTTTTTCTCTGGTCCCAGAACTTGCAAGCTTGAAGTTGACATGTAGATCCACTTAGGGTCTACCTCTCCCAACAAGATGGGAGAAAGGAGCTCAGAGCTGTGCTTTTGTGAGAGGCAGCAAAGGCAGAGGGACCATAGTGAGGGGATGGCTTAGAAGAATAATGGCCCCCTTAGAAGAATGACACTGAAAACAACTTACTTGGCCTCTATTCTCTGGGCTCCTTCACAGGAGGAAAAGATAGAAATGTGTCAGGGGTTGCTGTGTTTTCAGAAAGTGATGAATCCATAACTGTAATGGAGCTGTTTGAGACTTACAGCTTCCAAAGATCGCAAGCCCCATGACATGGGTGAATCCAGACTAGCTGCACACAGAGCCTTTGACACATACCAGTGGCTTCATGTGTCACAGAGGAGGGGAGTCATGGCCTGTAAGCCAAGGGAACGCCTCTCCTAGAAACAGAGGCACAATGCTGGGTTGTTTTAATGAGTTTTTGGCAAGTATATCTCACCATCGCTTTTTTTCTCATCTTCCAGAAGAAACTACAGTGATCAGCTACGGTGCCCCGTGTGAGTGAGGTGAGGGATCAACACCTCATCTGTCATCACATGCATGGTCCTGAAGAGTGTGGAGAGGGAGGAAGATGCAGGCAAGGGTCCTTGGTCAAGAAACCTGCCAGACTGCAGGTTCAGGGTAGGAAGTGATTAGCAAGGCTAAGGGTGAGTTCCTGTATCCCAGTGGTTAAACTGAGGGAAAGGGAGAACCGAAGCGGAAGGTTTGAGGTCCCCAGCTTGTGACACAGTTGGAGGTATGTTGCAGAAAACAAGGGCTGCCTGTCCTGAGTCCTACTACCAGTCCTGGCATTTTGCATCAAATATGCTTTCCTCAGGGCAACACAGTTCCTTTTCCCAGCACTTTCCCTGCAGTTCCACAGCCCTCCAGCCCTATGCATGCAACACGCCACGATCATCTTTATCACAGGATAAAAGCCTGACTCCTTTTCAGTGCCAAGCCCTTCACAGTCTCAGCCTGGCTTCTGATCCATGCTAGCGAAAGGGGACCTGCCTGTCCTCTTCCCAGGCTGAGCAAAGGCAAAGCTTGAACTTCGCCAGTGCCTGCTCCTGTTCTAAGCTTTGCTTTGATCTGCATGCTTGCTTGCCCACAGCTCATGAGATGAGGAAAAATGCCTGCTTCATGGATCATTTGTGGGAGGCACGCAGCCCTGCCCTGGGATGCCTGTCACAAGCCCCACACTCTTGGTGGACATTCTGCCATAGGCTTTGAATGGGTAGAGTCAGAGAGCGCCCTGTCCTTGATGGCTTGGCCATCCTGTTTGGTCACGAGGTGCAAAAAAACCCCTGAGTTCCCAGTGGTTAGTTTTAATACTTTAGGAACAGAGATTTTTTTTTTTGTCCTTTGTTGTCTTCACAGGAACAGGGACAGACCCATCCTCTGCAATCTCTGCCCGTCAGTCCTGTGTCACCCCTGCCAACAGCCACCACATGGAGATGAGAAGCAAAGAGAAAATACTTGAAATTTTCTGCTGAGCAGTTAGTTTCTGAAAGGCTCAGACTGTGCCTGGCATCTTATTAAAAGTGAGAAGTTTAGAACTGTCTGTGCGATTATTCAGGTTTACCGGTTTTCTCCCAAACCAGGAAAAGTGCATTCAAGAACACCTGGGAAAAATAACATCTTCACCTCTGCTCTGTGTGTGCATGTTCATGTACATGTGAAAACTCTGCTCCTCCAGTAGCGACTACTTGCAGAGGAGGAGGTAGAGCATGCACTAAGGCAGTGCTGGTACCTGGGGGAGGTGACCATCACACAAGCTGGAGGTGAAGGCAAGGGAGGGCTGGGATAAGTTCAACAGTTCCCTTGGCCAACAGCTGCATTTACAGACCTTTACCAAAAGCAACTGGCAAGGCTATACTGCTGGGGGGCAGTGAGGGGCTAGAATCTCAATGCACTACATTACTATCTGGAGACTGCTTCACAGAAGAGCTGACGGCACAGGAGCTCGCAGGAAGGGCACAGGAGATACAGCTATCGCAGCATGTTCAGTTGCATCTTTAACTCCAACACTGCCTGAGTCCTACTGCAGGAACTAGATGACCTCTAGGGGTCCCTTCCGACCCAAAACTTTCTATGATTCTATGAAACCACGGGAAGCACGAGGAGGGAGCAATAGAGGAGCTAGCAGGTTTCTACATTGGCAGTGGAAGAAATGGTGTCTTCATGGGCTAAGCCTGTATTTCATCAACAGCTGGCACAATGGCAGCAAGATCAGGGGTCATGCTCACTTTAATTCTTCTTCCCGGGTGCGTACCAGATATGTGACATGCACACATCCCCCAGCCAAACCCATAGACCCTCACTGTGCAGGCACAACTGCTGGGCTGTTGTGATCCCCCCATGCATCCACCCAGGTGCAGGATCACAACTTTAATGTAGGCTGTGACCCCGCTGGGGTGCTTCCTTCCATTCAGTGCCCAACCTGAAATATTGGGCAAAGGCAGGAGTCATTGTGTGGCGGTTCCTCTGCTTTCCTTTAGGACAAATTTGGGAGCGCCTCCACCCCTTTCTGAGGAACCACATGCAACTGTGGGAACAGAAGGTAATACAAACAAGGAGGGCATGATCCAGTCCCTCCACAGCTATCATCAGGCTGTGGAAGGTGCCTTGTGTTGGCTAGTAGTAGGGGTGACTCTCTAGGCAGCACTCTCTCTATGGGATGTTGTCAGGATGAAGCATGTACCATATCAAGATTCTGTCTTCTCCATCCAGCAGGGACTTCTCCAACCTGTCCTGGCTTCAGGCTACTAATAACAAGCCATGCCCTTTCTGGCAGCTGGGTACATCACCCCACAACACAAAATATTATATCTTCCCAGTTTCAGCTTGCTTCTTTGGCTCCCTGAATCCCCTTTTCCTACCCTGCAGTGAATGTAGTGGGGGGTGGAGGGAACGGAGCCACGTCCGGGTCTGAGGGCCCTTGTTAGCACAGGTGGCTATAGCTCGGGATTCCTACTCTATGGGCTGGTCCG